TCAACGCTATCCCCATCAAGCTACCATTGATTTTCTTCACAGAACTGGAAAAAACCACCATGAACTTCATATGGAACCAAAAGAGAGCCCGCATAGCCAAGTCAATTCTAAGCAAAAAGAACACAGCGGGGGGCATCACACTACTGGATTTCAAACTATACTATAAGGCTACAGTAATCAAAACATCATGGTACTGGTACCAAAACAGAGATATAGATCAATGGAACAAAACAGAGGCATCGGAGGCAACACAACATATCTACAACCATACAATCTTTGATAAATCTGACAAAAACAAGCAATGGGGAAAGGATTCCCTGTTTAACAAATGGTGTTGGGAAAACTGGCTAGCCATGTGCAGAAAGCAGAAACTGGACCCCTTCCTGACACCTTACACTAAAATTAACTCCAGATGGATTAAAGACTTAAACATAAGATCTGGCACCATAAAAACCCTAGAAGGAAATCTAGGCAAAACTATCCAGGACATAGGAGTAGGCAAGGACATCATGAACAAAACACCAAAAGCATTGGCAACAAAAGCCAAAATAGACAAATGGGACCTAATCAAACTCCACAGCTTCTGCACGGCAAAAGAAACAGTCACTAGAGTGAATCGGCAACCAACAGAATGGGAAAACATTTTTGCAGTTTACCCATCTGACAAAGGGCTGATATCCAGAATTTACAAAGAACTCAAACAGATTTACAGGAAAAAAACAAACAACCCCATTCAAAAGTGGGCAAAGGATATGAACAGACACTTTAAGAAAGAAGACATATATGAGGCCAACAATCATATGAAAAAATGCTCATCATCACTGGTCATCAGAGAGATGCAAATCAAAACCACATTGAGATACCATCTCACGCCAGTTAGAATGGCGATCATTAAAAAATCTGGAGACAACAGATGCCGGAGAGGATGTGGAGAAAAAGGAACACTTTTACACTGTTGGTGGGAGTGTAAATTAGTCCAACCATTGTGGAAGTCAGTGTGGCGATTCCTCAAGGCCTTAGAAATAGAAATCCCATTTGACCCAGCAATCCCATTACTGGGTATATATCCAAAGGACTATAAATCGTTCTACTATAAGGACACATGTACACGAATGTTCATTGCAGCACTGTTTACAATAGCAAACACCTGGAATCAACCCAAATGCCCATTGGTGATAGACTGGATTGGAAAAATGTGGCACATATACACCATGGAATATTATGCAGCAATCAGAAATGATGAGTTTCTGTCGTTTGTAGGGACATGGATGAATCTGGAGAACATCATCCTCAGCAAACTGACACAAGAACAGAAAATGAAACACCGCATATTCTCACTCATAGGCGGGTGATGAAAAATGAGAACACATGGACACAGGGAGGGGAGTACTAAACACTGGGGTCTATTGGGGGGAAAAAGGGGAGGGCCAGTGGGAGGGGGAGGTGGGGAGGGATAGCCTGGGGAGAAATGCCAAATGTGGGTGAAGGGGAGAAAGGAAGCAAAACACACTGCCATGTGTGTACCTACGCAACTGTCTTGCATGTTCTGCTCATGTACCCCAAAACCTAAAATGCAATAAAAAAGTTAAAAAAAAAAAAAAAGAAACAACTGCAAAAAGAAAATGTCAACAGATTTTTCCATTAAGCTGAGAACCTGGGAATTCCTGCACAGAAGACAAGAGAGCAACCTCTCCCGTTTCAGCAATCACTAGGTTTATTTTTTTTTTCCTGGTTTTTACTGTTTTGGTAATATAAATTGAAACAAGAAATATTAATACCGCATGGAAAGAATTCCAACCAAAGAAATCTGAAATATATAGTAAATGTTTTTGTTCATTTTGGATGCTGGTGCTAAACCTCCAAGTGTCATGATTTAAAAAGAAATTTTATGTCCTCATTTATTTCTAGGATGAGGGAAGGATAATATTTTTGCTTTCTTATGTGACTCTCTTTGAAAATGTGCAGGAAGAAATTCCTCAAAAATAAAATTTTTACCCTTAAAAAAATACAAAAATTAGCCAGGTGTAGTGGCAAGCACCTGTAATCCCAGCTACTCAGGAGGCTGAGGCAGGAGAATTGCTTAAACCCAGGAGGCAGAAGTTACCGTCAGCCAAGATCCCGCCACTGCACTCCAGCCTAGGTGACACAGCAAAAATCAGTCTCAAAACTATAAAATTAAATAAAATAAGGAGGCCCAGTGTCCTCTCTTTTGTCCCTAGCCTAACTGACTCATAAGGAGTACTCCTCAGTCCAAGGGAGAGCACCCCTGTCCAGCTGTTGTTAAAAAAAATACAGTTTCTTGTCTGTAGAAAATGTATTGGCCAGATGTGATGGCTCACACCTGGAATCCCAACACTTGGGGGGGTGCTAAGGTGGGTGGGCCACCTGAGGTCAGGAGTTCAAGACCAGACTGGCCAACATGGTAAAAACCCTGTCTCTACTAAAAATACAAAAAAATAAAAATAAAAATAAAAATTAGCTGGGCATGGTGGTGTGCACCTATAATCCTGGCTACTTGGGAGGCTGAGACAGGAGAATGTCTGAACTCAGGAGGTAGAAGTTGTAGTGAGCCGAGATCATGCCATTGCACTCCAGCCTGGGCGACGGAGTAAGAGTCTCTCTTAAAAAAAAAAAAAAAAAGAAACACAAAGAAAATATATTATAAAGATAAACTGGTATAACAGTTTGACTCAAAATCCTGAGTACCCTTTTCTTGATTCCTGGCACCATGATATCCTTGAAAAGCAAGAGAATGTATGAAAACGCACGTCTCATTTTAATGCTTATGCTTTCTCCTATGGCAACATAGGAGAATGGTTTCATAGGAGTATAAAACTTATTAATAAAGGCAAAATCCTTAGCTGCCACCCCACCAATGCCCAAAAGAGATTGATTTAAAGACCTCAAAAGGAAAAAAAAATTGCAAAACTAGGAGAGAAGACCTCTACTACCCAGAGACAGCCCAGTAGCCGAAGCGCAAAGCTTCTCAGCTTAGAGGAGGTGCAGACCTACCTACCTACCTTCCTTCCTTCCTTCCTTCCTTCCTTCCCTGTAACTCTGCAGAAAATCTAAGAGTGTAGATTAAGTTCCCAGGAAAGCTAACTCTGAGATGGAATTTAGCGTACAGGAGATTTACTACGAGTGCACATGGAACCAACACCTGTGGAAAAGAAGGGCAGAAAGGAACTAACTGGGCCTCAGTCAACCCTACAGGGAGTTCTAAAGACAGAATGACAATTCAGAGCTGTTCTGAGTCAGTGAGGGAGAACTTGCCCTTTCTGTCCCCTCCCTGACAATCAGTCTTCGGATGAGGACTACCTGGGAAGGAACATGGCCTTGGCCGAGGCAGCCGTCTTCAGCGGATGCTGTCCCGGAAGCAGGCTGACAGCTAGGGCCGTCCGTTGGCAACACTTCCAGCAACACGTCCATTGGCACCACCTCTCTTCCTTCCGGAGGGAGGCTCTGCCTGCCCCGTCTTCCTTCCGGAGGGAGGCTCTGTGTGCGGCATTCCCATTCCAGCAGCCACTGCCCAGCAGTCTCTGCACCGAAATCCATCCTTGTGGGCAGTCACACAAGCTCAGGATTTCCTTCCTCTCAAAATGCCAGGAATTATTTTATCAGATTTCTTTAACATAAGATTAAGTCTTCCAGGCATGATCACTTAAACCTTCAGCTCTTTGTAGGGAACATTCTAGAAATAAGGTCCAGGAAATTGTCCACAAGTAGAAGCAGTCTCACCCTCATAAACATGACGAAAACTCTTCGCTAGAAGTATGGATGTGATATAGCTGGCCTAGAGTTAGAACCTGTACCATGCCATTTTATAAAGGACAAAACTGTTTCCATTCTCCTCACAATGACTGCTAGCCATGGCCTCTGTAAACTGCTAAGTTTACTTTGCAAAATGCAGAGAGGTAAAGCTGCAAACTTTCTCTTATCTGTAACTGCCAGAATTGCTGGCCTCTGTTTACCGGTACTGACCAGAGTAAGCACCCCCAGATAATTCCATCCTGGCGCCAAACAACTGAAAAATCTGTGGACCCCACACCTGTCCAAATAATGTATAAACTAATGTTTATCTGAACTTCTGTAAACCTCTTAAGTGGCAATCGGAATGACAAAAGTCCCCTGGCCCTTGGAATGGCCGGAGCCCCCTCACCCTCCTTGCTGCCCAGGAGGTGATTTACAGACTTTCATTCCCATCTCCACTCTTCACCCCCACTCCCAAGGTGGTTTTGCGGGTATAAAAAGGTCTTGTCACCCTTTTTTTTCTGCCACGGGTTGGAGAGATGTGAGTCCTCCGTGGTTGCTGGCAATAAACCCTGCAATTTGGCATACTTTTGTCTTGGTGTTGACTTTCTGTGCTCGGTCCAATACAACACTGACTGACATATGCTACAATGTGGATGACCCTCAAGAACATTATGATAAGTGAAAAAAGCCAGACACAAAAGGTCACATATTATATGATTCAATATACATTAAATACCCATAGAGAGAGACATAATTTCAGCTATTGGTTGCTGGGGACAGGGGTGGGGGAGAGAATAAGAGCAACTGCTTAATGTATATAGAGTTTCTTTTCGGGATGATAAAATGTTTTTGGTGTTTTGGGTTTTTTAAAGAACAAAACAGATATATTTCTTTTCTTTTTTTTTTTTTTTCTTTGAGACAGAGTTTCACTCTTGTTACCCAGGCTGGAGTGCAATGGTACAATCTCGGCTCACCACAACCTCTGCCTCCTGGGTTCAAGCAATTCTCCTGCCTCAGCCTCCTGAGTAGCTGGGACGACAGGCATGCACTACTATGCCCAGCTAATTTTTGTATTTTTAGTAGAGACGAGGTTTCACCACGTTGACCAGGATGTTCTCGATCTCTTGACCTCGTGATCCACCCTCTTCGGCCTCCCAAAGTGCTGGGATTATAGGCGTAAGCCACCGCGCCCAGCCAAAACAGGTATATTTCTATTAGACTACCTGTTACAGAAGATAGTTTGGTATGGATGAATGGTATGAATGACAAATAATACAAATATATTTTATTTGAAATAAAAATGCATACACAGCTCAATGGGTCACTTGGAAACAAACTGTTGCTTGACTAATTACTGAGCAAAAACAAATTGAAGCACAAACACGTTTCTTTTCTGACATGTATCTAGGAATAGGTAGGAAGACACTACTTGGTTTTTTAAAAAACTGACCTTCCCTTAAGGCCTGGTCGTAGAAGTGTAAACAATGTAAATGAATCCACCATTACCAGTTGTGATATCATATCTATGTCACCTGTGTATTCTGAGATTACACACATACCTGCCAATATACCTGGGAAAGGTTATTTTATCACAGTTACACTTGAGTTCTTGGCAGGCAGGACAGAGGAAGAGTAATTTGAAAAAAGGTTTACATCCTATTTGGAGGAAATCACTAGTATTTCCTTAAATAACAGGTTACAACAGAAAGATACTGCCTGGAAGTTATCCTTTTCACTTTGGTTTATTTTTAGTTTTTGTTTATGATTTACATAGCCGTTTAATTCATTTGCTTATAGTACAGTCTTGCCATAAAGTATTAAAGCACAAGATACCTATTATTCCTTCAACATCTGCATTTTTCAGGTTTTATACTTTACATCCACAGTATGTCAGCAGTTCTTGGATGTTAAAAATAAATAAATAAATGGGTAAAACCCTTTAAAAAAAGCAGATGTCAAAAAGAATTTTAAACATTTTTAAAAATAAAAAAAACACAGATGTCTATAATTACAATGGTATTAAAATGGGAAGGATACAATGAGAGAAGGGATAAAAGCAAACATGTTCATGTGCAGGGAACGTGGTTCAAGTCTTTGGATTTAAAAACAAGTTCCCCAGAGAAGCTGACACTTCCTTTGCCCTCCAAAAAGGATCTGAAAAGTCCCAATCCAAACTTTGGAAAATTACAGTTATGAGATGCAATAAATGATGACCAAAGCAGTCAGAGGGAGAAGGATGAATGTGTCTTCCATTTAGCTTCAGACTGCAGCACAGCCTCGTTAGGTGTTCGTGATCAGTAAAAACCACTGAAGTACCAGAAGTGCCTGGAAGGACAGGGGTAAAAAGTAAAGACCATAATACCTTGTCTAAATCAGCAGCAGGGCTTCATGGCTAGGAAACTTTCTTAAACAGTAAAATGTCTCTAGGATAGATCTTTCTCACTCCAACGTTAAATGTGGTAGAATTAACAACAAAAAAAAGATTTACATGTAAATATAGCAATAGCAGAAAATTACAAGGCAGAGAACACAAAAGAATCAAGGCAATGCTATAGGTTCCACAGTATTCCCTGAGGCTGGAAAACCAGTTAACTTTAAAAGCCCTAGCAAAATATCGCTCTTGTTTATAAATCACTTATTTATCATATGACCAAACGTTGAATCCTTGTCTTTCCACATACTGGAGAATTCTACATTCAGCCTTTAAGCATTCTGCATTTCTTTGCCAATCTTGTAGCCAAGTATTCTGTTCCAGTCGATTTTGGTGCGGGTAACTGGAAACTGCCAGCACCAAGGCCTTGAATGTGGTATCTTACTTTGTTTGATGGTTTTCACTACTTGCTGTCTTATACTCATTTTCTGCATTCTCTATGATTTTAATAAACTCCTTGGCAGTTTGGGCTTCATTCAAAACAGTTAATGAATCCAATACATCTTTATGACTGACTAATTGAACATTGCCATCATCACAATAGAGAACCTGAGTCTTAAGCACTTCAACCACCTGGGCTGTAGGTGGTGTGATGGTTAACTTCCACTCTGATCTCCAACGACCATTCCAGAAGTTTTTAGGCTGAAACTGGTGGCTTTCAATACATGCAATAATAGTCTGTTGCTCATTGATAGTTTTAGCATAAACAGTACAGAAGCTGTTGGAATAATGGTCTTTCACATAGGCCCTTAAAGCACTATCACAGGATTCTCTCCAAGACTTCACACCTCTATCAACTTCTTCTGGCTGGGGGTCACTTGCTTCTTTCTGTAGGTGATCAAATTTAAAGGAAATTTTGTTTCTTGGATCTAAAAATCTACTATTACCCAGGTCACCGTGCTCTGTAATTAAGACCTGATCTTCATATCCTTCTATCTTCATTGGCGTGAACTGATCCATGTTATACTGGGCAAATGCACGTGCTGCCCCTCCCCTGAGGAGATTGTCATCGTTAGGTAGTAGCCGAACATCATTAAATACTTCATTAAATTCCCCTGGGGGTACATGAGTGATGAACTTAGCAGCTATGCATACCTTCTCATCTGACACACGATCATCAAAGTCGTCCATCGTGGGCTGTTCTCTTGGCATCTGTTTTTGAGATGGAGTTTCACTCTTGTTGCCCAGGCTGGAGTGCAATGACACAATCTCTCTGCAACAATCTCACTGCAACCTTTGCCTCCCAGGTTCAAGTGATTCTCCTGTCTCAGCCTCCAGCGTGGCAAGGATTATAGCCACCCACCACCACATCCGGCTAATTTTTGTATTTTTAGTAGAGACGGGGTTTTGCCATGTTGGCCAGGCTGGTCTCGAACTCCTGAGCTCAGGTGATCCTCCCACCCTGGCCTCCCAAAGTGCTGGGATCACAGGCATGAGCCACTGTGCCCAGCAAAAGCACATGAAAATGTTTTCAAACTAGACAAAGATGATGATTGCACAACATTGTGAATGTACTAAATGCCACTGGATCGTTCATTTTTAAATGGTTAATTTTTTTTTTTTAAGTCAGGGTCTTCTGTTGCCCCAGTTGGAGTACAGTGGCACCATCTAGGCTCACTGAAACCTTCCCAAGTTCAAGCGATCCTCCCGTTTCAGCCTCCTGAGTAGCTGGGACTACAGGCATGCGCCGCCAATTTCTGTATTTTTTGTAGAGACAGCGTTTCACCATGTTGCCCAGGCTGGTCTTGAACTCCTGAGCTCAAGCGATTCACTTGCCTCTGCCTCACAAAGTGCTGGGATTATTACAGGCTTGAGCCACCACTTCTGACTAAATTGGTTAATTTCATATTATGTCAATTTCACCTCAATTAAATAAAATGGAGTAAAACCACACACGCACGCATGCACACACACACACACACACACACACACACACCAAACACAAAAAAAATCTCTTCCCTGGGAACAGCCAACTATATGAAAATTAACCCTTTACTATAAGAACTTTAATTTTTTAATAACTAGGAATTATTAAAAGGTTGTTACTCTGTCTTCAGAGTAAACTTACATTTTGTGCTTAAAATCAAGCATCCGATCCATGTAGTCAGCTCTGGATAGCCAAATTATGTAAATCTTTAATTTACATGAGACATAACTTCTGTCTACATGTAAAGAATATTTTCCTTCCAAAGGAGTTTGAAGTGTTATGATCACATACTCTTTAAAGTTTCCTGAAAAAAAATGATGTTCAGAGATTTCAGGGTCTCCAAAATAATTATCTGTTTGGAAAGGCACACTCCAAACTATTCAAAAATACTTGATGAAATCATTCATTTCTTACTGGTAAAATGTGAAAGATGGTATGTGAATAGTTTGTGTTAATACATTTGGTGTTTGGTGACAGAAAGACAAAACAATGTTGTGAATAAACTTGTTGGAAGCTAAAAATTACGTGAATTAAACTATCTTTAAATAATTAATGCTGTCCCACCACCATTTCAGCACTATTACACAGTAGAGTTAGAAGCTCCCCAAAAGAAATTTAACTTTAAAGTAAGAATGATAGTCCAAAAGCCACAAGGTAATCCCAGCACTTTGGGAGGCCAAGGTGGCAGATCACTTGAGGCCAGGAGTTCAAGACCAGCCTAGCCAACATGGCAAAACCCTCATCTCTACTAAAAATACAAAATTTAGCTGGGCATGGTGGCACATGCCTGTAATCTCAGCTACTTGGGAGGCCAAGGCACGAGAATCACTTGAACCTGGGAGGAGGAGGTTGCAGTAAGCCAAGATCACACCACTGCACTCCAGTCTGGGTGACAGAGCAAGAATCTATCACAGAAAAAAAAAAAAAGCCATGAGGTAGTTAAGATACTAGGACCTTCAAAAAAGGAAAGAAACAGAAAGTGTAAGTTTAAAATTTGCCTAATATCAAAAATCTCCATTCTGAAAGTAAGTCAAGCCAAGTATCCCTTCCCCAACCCTCCGTGATAAAAAAATCATTTACAAGTTGCATTGTTTTTCTAAACACATTCTAAATCTGAAAATTTTGCATAAATATTCAAACACACTAAATTTCAAAACATACTTAAAGTCTATTATTTAATAAAACTTGCAATTTTCATGTTTAATTCTCCACATTGTAGTTTTCTGAGTTTTCTAATTAAATATAGTTACTTCAGAATAAAAATTTTATCATTTGGGGCATTTGGACATCTACACTAAAACCAAATTGCTAATGCTTCATGTAAATATAATGTAAAACATAGGCTTTAAGTGGAAATAAATGACATTTAAATGGAATGGTTGTAATCCAAAGATGTCTTTTACAAATTTGCTCAAAAAACCCAGATAATCTGAAAATATATACAAATCAATAGGAAAATTTCCATTTGACATTTCTAGGCAGGATTTAAATGTGTGATAGCTGATATATTTTTCCAGTAATTGCATATTTAATTCCTATTTTTCTCGATGTACTCTAGATATTTTTGCAAACATACTTGGATTTTCAGAATTCAAATTTGTATGGTGTTAAGGTAATGCATATTTGAGTTTATCTTGCTGTTTGAGAAATTGAAATTCTACCAATTACAGACAATTCTGTAATTATAATTACAGTAAGAATTGCACACTTAAAATCATTAAAATGGCAAATATTATGTCATATATATCAGTTATACCACAATAAAGAAAAAGAAAAGGGAAGAAAAAAATAAGGCTCTTTCTGTCAGAGAGAGAAAAAGAGAGAGACACAATTTTGATTTTCCCCCCATTGGAATATAGAATTAAGTATAGACCACTCAAATTATGCAAATTTGTGGTCAGAGCACTTACAAGTAGCAATTCCAAAATAAATACCATAAAAAGATGTCATATTTGTCTTTATTTATTTAAAAGGAAATATATAATTTCCTTTTTAAATAAGAGGATAATGGCAGCTTGATGGCAGCGGGTGTGTAAGGAAGAATTGACGCTGCTGAGTTAGGACAGCAAAGGCAAAATGATAAAGACTAGGCAGAAGAGCCAGGCACAGGGGCTCACACCTGTAATCCCAGCACTTTGGGAGGCCAAGGCGGGCGGATCATCTGAGGTCCCGAGTCCGAGACCAGCCTGGCCAACATGGTGAAACCTCATCTCTACTAAAAATACAAAAACTAGTTGGGTGTGATGGTAGACGCATAGAATCCCAGCTACTTGGGAGGCTGAGACAGGAGACTCACTTGAACCCAGGAGGCAGAGATTGCAGTGAACAAAGATGGCGCCACTGCACTCCAGCCTGGGCAATGGAGCAAGAGTTCATCTCAAAAATAAAAAAAGAAAGAATTGGATAAAAGCATCCACTCACCCCAAGTCCCATAATGTCCATACCAGCCTACCTCTACTTCATAATCAATCCTATTAATCCCAAATCCAGATTCAATGTCTCCCAGCTGAATCTCCCAGCAAGGCTCATCTACCTTCCTCTGATGACCGTATCTTCCTCCTTATCTTTTACTATAAACTCAGATTGAACCTCTCTACTTTTCTGTATTTTTGTATTTCTTAAATCATCAAGAATTTTTAAAAGGCTTCAGCAAAACCAGAAATAGGCTGTCCCTCTCTTTTTGGTTTATCTGAGAACAGGAAGTCAAAGAAATCTAACAAAACAGCCTTTGGTAGACAGCTTTTCACGCAGAAGATAAAATTACAGGGTAAGAAATTATGACTTACATCTACTCTGAATCACTTACAGAAATGACTCTTTTTTTTCAAATCTTTGCTATTTAAGTCTGTGATAATCATTTGCATTTGAAAAAGCTGACTCTGTTGAGTCATACTTAGAACTACAAACTCTGACTAAACTGTGACTCAGTCCAGACAAATGAAAACGAAAGCCAAATGGTTCAAAATATGCAAGAGAAACAAGGAAAATTGTCTTTACTTTGCTGATTTGAGGTTGTTTTTTTTTTTTCCAAATTTACCAACTGGATATAATTTCCCCACTCGAAGCACATGAACTCAGGTACAACAATGCTATGGAATAATTTGACGGTATTGTCCATTTCTTGTAACCTTCCGTTTACCCGAATGGCTTATGCTGGAGCCAACTAACACTAACCCAGCGTTAGCTGGCTGGGTTAGCTGACCAGGGTTACCGGGGTCTTCGCAGGGCCTGCAGAGCAGAATCCAGGTCAGAAGGCAATCGTTTTGCACCATCAAACGTATATTCTATTTGGGACCTAGTCTTCTTCTCTCTCTGCGACACTCATGAACCCCCATAAACTGTGGGAGGCTCAGTACAAACTCCCTCCTGTCTCTCCCCAGTAACGTTTATATGTAGTCAGCTAACTCTTTCCCATGTTACCCCCATCCAAGTAATTCATGAGGCCGTTTTCATTTTACCCATTTTAGACCCTTACACTTTTTAGTTGGGGAACTTCTAAACTTACCCAAAGATTGAGAGACTAGTAGAATTAACCATATAATGTATAATACAGCCGCTTACAGATAATGTATAATATATCTGTCAACCCAGCTTAGACAATTATTACCATACTGCCAATCTCATTTTACCAACCCCTCTTCCTCCACTTTTTTAAGTCGAAATATTTTAAAGTAAATCCTAGACATCGATATTTCTTAATTAAAAAATAATAACTGCCATGCCATTATCATGTCAAACAAAATGACCAGTAAGTCTCCATACAAATTCCTCAGCTGTCTCAATACCCTCACAAGAGCAAGTAAGTGGTAGAAGCTGGGATTCGAACCCAAGCAGCTGGACTCCAGTGCACTCTAAAATCTCTTTCCGTGGAAAGAGAGTCCAACAAGAGCTCTGCAGAAACTGGCAGAAAAGGGCAAAATAAGCAGAGAAACAGGATGCCAGGAAGCAGCAAGCAGAAAGGTTAGCAACCTCAGCAAAGGGTGGCCTGCGTCAAGAAGGGGATTTCAAGATATTTCCTTTTGGGGAACTGACAACCTCAAGGAGAGCAAGTCTGAAGGCTGCAGACAAGAACAGGTGGTGGGCCTACCTATCCCAGGGCGGGGAGGGGATAAGGCAGTATGAATGCTGAGGGCACCAGGACTTGGCAGATCCTAAGACTCTGACTCCTATCAGGCAGAACGCAAGCGTGCCTCTCACTAGACTGAGTCACAGCTGCTTGAAAGCTGGCACTACCCCACAGAAGGGCCTTGGTTACCATACAAATCAGAAACGGTGTTGTCCAAGATAAAATCCAAAATAGCCTAGAGATTTGGCTGTCTTAAAACACGGGCTCGGCCGGGCGCGGTGGCTCACGCCTATAATCCCAGCACTTTCGGAGGCCGAAACGGTTGGATCACGAGGTCAACAGATCGAGACCATCATGGTCAACGAGGTGAAACCCCGTCTCTACTTAAAAATACAAAAATTAGCTGGGCATGGTGGTGCGCGCCTGTAGTCCCAGCTACTCGGGAGGCTGAGGCAGGAGAATTGCTTGAACCCAGAAGGCGGAGGTTGCCATGAGCCGAGATCGTGCCATTGCACTCCAGTCTGTGTAAGAGCGAAACTCCGTCTCAAAAAAAAAAAAAAAAAAAACAAAAAAAAACCACGGGCTCAATAATCCCTAGTTTTGATGCAGCATACCTTTCTAGAATATGGTTTAGAATCTTCCTGCTGGTGGATCTCATTTCACTAGACAGCTCCTTTGCCGAAATGAAATCCTTGTAAACAAGGAGTGCAGCAGAAATACCAAAGAAAGAAACTAAAGCTCAAGTTGCAGCCGGGTCTTGAATCCTAAGGGGGCACGGCCCAGACAAGCTGGTGTTCCACAACTGACCACAAGGTGGCACTGCTTTGAGCCAAGCCCCAGGTATGTTAAGAAATAAATGAGATCAACGGTGAAGTTTTACAGCTACAGAATAGACAAGTGCAGCCATTCAAAGAAACCCCTTAGACCTGCTATGGGAAACAAAAGTGATTGGCTGTGGGTCCCAGCTGCTGCCCCTCTACATCCACCACGGTCTTCCCCCTTAGGCTGTTCCTGGCCCATGACAAACACAGCCTTGCTGTCCACACCAAGCTATTCCCTTGAGACAAGGGCGGCTCCCACGGGTGACTTTTGCTTGAGGACTTCCCATCTGCCTGGTCCTCCCTTTCTTGGACTATACTGCGGTCTGTGGTTTTTCCTACCCAATCCCTTTTCCTTCTCTCTCTCCACAGTTGTCAGAACTTCGTGATAGCCCTATTGAGGAGTGGCCCTATGATGATGGAGCTGGAAAATCTTTCTTTTCTTTTTGCTTTTTCTGTTTTGTTTTTGCTTTTGCAATGGAGTCACCCAGCCTGGAGTGCAGTGGCATGATCTCAACTCGCTGCAGCCTCCGCTCTCGAGTTCAAGTGATTCTCCTATCTCAGCCTCCTGAGTAGCTGGGATCACAGGCACATACCACCACACCCAGCTAATTTTTATTAGTAGAGACGGGGTTTCACCATGTTGGGCAGGCTGGTCTCTAGCTCCTGACTTTAGATGATCAGCCTGCCTCGACCTCCCAAAGTGCTGGGATTACAGGCATGAGCCACAGCGCCGGACTGGAAAATCTTTCCAATGGGCAGTGTGTGAGGGTGCAACTAGTATCTACAATGGAACAAAAAATGGCTGAGGTGAGAATATATACAGTGGCCAGGAAACAAGGTCTGGGGTAGAAGCCTGTGGATGAACCCAGGGGAGTGGGCACTCCAGGGGAATATCATTTCCACCTCCCACCTTAATGCTCCCAGAATGCAATTCTCATAGAAGAGGCATAGAACAAGCAAGCAGCCAAGAAGACTCGGCGGGTTGATAGCTGGCCTTCATCACCAGCCAGCCCAGAGCTGCTGTGACAGGCACAGGGATGGAGGGAGGCTGCAGACAGCCTATTAGCATGGACTCCCTGTTATCCGAGGTCAACGGAACTGTTGTTGCCTCTGAATGTCCAACCTGTCTGCAACACAGGCCATTGCTGAGCCCTGAAGTTGAGGCCAGTCGACAAGTGGCAGGCTCCAGATGTATTGCTCGTCTGTTCTGTGAAAATGGATCTGGGCCCTCTTAAGTTTTTTCCCTGGGCCAGCGGGTTCTGAAGCTTTGTCAGGAAAGGGTGATGGAGAAATACTGCAGGAGGAAGAGTTTTGCTTCCTGACTGACGCAGCGGGCAGGAGGGTCTTCCCAGCTTCCCAGCACTGCCCTCACAGAGTTTTGCATCAAGAAGCCTCTAGTGGGACACCACTCTGTGCAGTTTTCCCCAGGATCCCAAAGGGAAGTCCTCTGCCCTCTAGGGACCTGGGGAAAACTGCACAGGAGGCAGATTTCTAGTAAGTTCTACGAGCAGAGCACCCCCGTGACTTCTCTGCCCTCCACAGTGTCAGCCCCAGGGGTACTGAGGGGACTCTTCTTCTTTTTTTTTTTTTTTTGAGACAGGGTCTTGCTTTGTCGCCCAGGCTGAAGTGTAGTGGCGCAGTCTTGGCTCACTGCAACTCTGCCTCTCAGGTTCAAGCAATTCTCCTGCCTCATCTTCAAGATGCCTGCCACCGGTCTGGATAATTTTTGTATTCTTAGTAGAGATGGGTTTCACCATGTTGGCCAAGCTGATCTTAAACTCTTGACCTCAGGTGATCCATCCACCTCAGCTTCCCAAAGTGCTGGGATGACAGGTGCAAGCCACCACGCCCAGTCAGGGCTCTTCTTTGAGCTCTGTGGTTGGTTGGTTGGTTTTCTGAGACTGAGTCTTGCTCTGTCACTCAGGCTGGAGTGCAGTGGCACCATCTCGGCTCACCACAACCTCCGCCTCCCAGGTTCAAGCGATTCTCCTGCCTCAGCCTCCTGAGTAGCTGGGATTACAGGCACCCGCCACACGCCCAGTGGCTAATTTTAGTAGAAACGGGGTTTTACCATGTTGGCCAGGCTGGTCTTCCAACTCCTGACCTCAGGTGATCTGCCTGCCTCAGCCTCCCAACTTGCTGGGATTACAGGCGTGAGGCACCACGCCCAGACAGGGCTCTTCTTTGAGTGCTCAGTCTTAACCCTAGTAGGACAGGCTACTCCTGGTATCTGCTGTTCTCATGCTCAAGTTCTTTTTACTTCCTACTAGCCAGTCCTTCACTACTCCAGTCTGCTGTGATAATCACTCTGCACATTTAACTTTCCCTGTTCAAATTGCTGTGCGCTTTCTGTGTCACTCCTCATAGTGACAGATACCTCTTCTAAGCGAGAGTTTGCCTTTCCTGCCTGCAGGAACTCAGACGCCATGACTATCTGGGGCTTACAGAAAGCCTGGTCCCTAGGCAAGGTCCCAATCCAATCAGGTGACCTACTTCCCAGTGAAGGAGATGAAAGAGTGAACCCCTGGTTGTGGAACCAGCATCGGTCCACACCGCGCACCATCCATAGGCAGCCAGCCTCATGGAAGGCTTGAACTACCAAGACCCGGCTGAAAGGCCAGGATGGAGTGCTATCCTCAAGGATGTGTGTCACCAGTAGGTTTGGGACCGTGTCTGGGGTCCAGTGGGTGAAATCAGGAGTGGCCCTTCTTTCCATCATTTCCAATGACCTGCTGCAGGATTTAAGGAGAATAGCGGCACTGGAAATCCTGGTCCCAAAGAGGGAGGCTCTTGCCAGGGGACATAGGGTCCCAATATGAGGTACAAACTACGTCTTATGCCCTAAGGTCCCATTGAGCTACCAACCGTCTGATGCCAGAGCACTTTGAACTCCCTTTGTCCAGGAACCAGGAGGAGGAGATAGAGTTACCTTTTCACAGTAGGGACAGGGAGCAATACAGGTGGAATCCATGTGATCCGTTGAGTGCCTGCTGCTATTCCCGTGGGCCCCTGTCAATGTGAATGCACACGTTCAGCAAGCCTGTCTTAAGAAAGCATCACTCTGCTGCAATCTGAGATGCCTCCAGCCCAATCCTGTCTCCCCTCTCTTTTACAGGGGTCAGCCTTGCAGCATGGTCTGAAGGCCATCACTGCCTTCTTTGGTTCCCCACAGGCATGGTCCCCAATAAGTGTCATGCAAATCTCATTATGTCTGTGGGAAGTAGAAAAGTTTATTTTTTTAAAGTTTCCTTTCTTGTTAAAAAATAAATAGTAAGTGTGCTAACAACTCTTTGTTAAGCCCTATCCCATGTAGCTGTTGGACCTGCCATGCTTACAGGCACATAGTACATTCCATTTCCTTGTACTTTGACCAAGATATCTGTGCTAGACGTGCTCACAGGCATGCCCCAGCTCACCATTGCTTTTACATGTTTAGAAAAGTTCTAAGTTGTTAGCCAATCAAGTTTTGGTTTAAATTGTGAGGTCTGGCTCCAGCCAATGGAGATCAGACACAGCAGTAAAGACAACCTCAAATGCGTAAGGGATAAACTTGTGTGTTTTCCTTTGTTCATTGTATTCTCGTGGCATGATGGCTAGTGGGAATACCCTTCCTGCAGTCCAGGAAGCAAAAGTTGCGTTGCTGAAAGATCCTTTGTCTCAGTGCTAATTTTTATTTGTGGCACCCAGTGTCTATTTCCAACATGTCTGGGCACCTGCTTTTCAGAGGACCTGAACTAACATAAGCCACAAACCAAAAGATTCATGTGTGGGGAGGGATAATGTTGATAAGGGTCATCTTTATCAACAAATTCTTTTAATATATACAATTGTTTTCATTTTGTTTAATATAAATATACAATTGTTTTCCAGATGTCTTTTTCTTTCAGTTATATGCTGTGGACATCATGGCTTGATCATCTATAGCACTCCTGCTCTCTCACTCTCTGTATTGTAAGCTCAGTAAGGCAAGATCCATGTGTATTTTTCACCGCTGCATGTCTCACTTCTGGCATAATCCTAAATACATAGCAGGAGCTCAAAATCACTAAGCCTATTCAAGAACAGTCACAAAGCTCACTAAGCGTAGTGGCAAAAGAATATTATCGACAGGATACTATTATGATAATAAATTCATAATTCCAAAATATCGATAATGACCAGTGATAGTCTAAGAAGAAGCTCTAATAAGGAGTTGTAGCTAAGGTTACTGCTACATAGGCAGTGTCTGTGCCTTAAGCAGAAATCAATGGCAACGTTATGGAGATTTAAGGAGTTGATGGCAGTCATCGACACAGGTTGTGTGAAAGCAAGCCCTGCCTTTTCCATCTTCTCCACCAACCTGTATTAGGGCCACTTTGCCCTCTAACGGGGCTTGTAATTCTCAGTTGTTATGGCATTATTGGTTCCAGTAGGCCACTGTTAAAGAGCTATCTGGGAGGAAAAGAAAGCTTTCTGATCTTCCCACGTTATTAGTATGAGCACAAAATTTAAGAACACACTCACTCTCAAGGGTGATTTTGCATGGGCACAAACCTGACAACGGATAACACCTCCTTAAATGTTGCACCCTGGGTACCTCATTAGCCTCTCCCTCGAGCCAGTGCTGCTTGAGGGCATGAGAAAGCTACAGATTCTGGGTCCCAAACCCCAGAGGTTGGTAAATCATACACTTTAAAATGAGTGTTAAGGACAGGCCAGGCATGGTGGCTCAAGCCTGTAATCCCAGCACTTTGGGAGGCCGAAGCAGGTGGATCACTTGAGGTCAGGAGACGGAGACCAGCCTGGCCAATATGATGAAACCCTGGCTCTATTAAAAATACAAAAATTAGCCAGGCATGGTGGCACAAGCCTGTAAACCCAGCTACTCAGGAGGCTAAGGCAGGAAAATCGCTTGAGCCCGGAAGGTGGAGGCTGCAATGAGCCAAGATCACACCACTGCACTCCAGCTCAAAACGAAATAAATAAATAAAATGAACGTTCATGATAAAAGAAAGAAAATAGCTACTTCACCTCAGACACTTGAAAGAACTTTAAGACAAAGAATGAACCTATTCAGTCTGCTAAAGGCATTTATTAAATAACACTCTAACTACCAGACTGGAGCCATCAAAGGCAGAATATGGAACCCTAACACATCTGCATACAATTTAAATTTTGTTTTTGCCTACAAAAGGAGGTGCATGGAGAAAAGGGAATACTTTGGGTAGGAAATCAAGACACAAATCAGGCACTGCAGAAAGAAACACACATAACTTTTGCTTTGAATTAAGAGAATATATATAAATTTGACTACATGAACAAAACAAACTACACATCAATAATTACCATAAGGCTTTATTGTTCCAAAAGTATTTGCCACCAAAAATAAGTATATTGTATAATTCTAATTGTAATAATCATAATTATGCCACAATTAAGATTTCTCTTCTACCGTTATTATTTTTTTGTTTTTTGTTTTTGTTTTTGTTTTTTTATTTTTGAGATGGAGTCTCACTCTGCTGCCCAGGCTGGAGTGCAGTGGCGCAATCTCGGCTCACTGCAACCTCTGCCTCCTGGGTTCAAGTGATCCTCCTGCCTCAGCCTCCCAAGTAGCTGGAACTACAGGTGTGTGCCACCACACTCGGCTAATTTTTGTTTTTGTTTTTAATAGAGATGGGATTTCACAATGTTGGCCAGGCTGGTCTTCAACTCCTGACCTCAGGTGATCCACCCACCTCAGCCTCCCAAAATGCTGGGATTACAGGTGTGAACCACCACACCTGGCCTCTATCTTTATAATTAAATAAAATCTTCTGGGAGTTCATGATCCCTAGAATTATTATTGATTTAAAATGATTCCATTTTTCAAATTCTTTTCTTAGAAATAAAAAGTAAAATCATTAAAATATGTTAATGTCTGTTATTTAAACATTTTAAGATCACAGGTTAAAAGATTTTGATTGGGACATAAAAATATATATATTTCAGGAATAGTTTTTCCATAGATATAATTAGTAACATTTAAAAATCAGAAAGATGCTTTCCATACTAACTGTAGGCTTTTAAAATGTACAGAAGCACATCCTCAAGACGAGAAGGTGCTGGGGGACGAAGGACGCCTTGTTTTCTCCGCTCACAGCTTAGCTTTCTGCTTAAAAGACTCCTTCATCTTTTTGACAACAGAAAGGTCCCCTGCTCCCTCGGGCCAGTTGTCATGATCTGTGAAGGAAATGGAAAGCCTCCTGTCACTTGCAAATCTGTTAATCTCATTTGTCCTGTTGGTTCCCACCAAACCCTCTCATTATTTTCGCTGGCTCACATTCCCTGGTTTATTTTCTCAGCACCAAAAAAGAAATCCTTAGGGCAAACATTTGAGAAAAGACTTGGATTTGAATGTCAGGTCTGCCACGCGTTAACTTTCCTGAATTTGGAGGCATGACTCTTCCTGAGCCTCACTCAGTTCTGTCCTCTATTAAAGGATATAAAAATTTCTACCTTTTAAAGTTATGAGGGTTAGGCCAGGTGTGGTGGCTCACACCTGTAATCCCAGCACTTTGGGAGGCCAAAGCAGGAAGATCACAAGGTCAGGAGTTCGAGACCAGCCTGGCCAACATGGTGAAACCCCGTCTCTACTAAAAAAAAAAAATACAAAAAAATTAGCTGGGCATGGTGGTGGGCACCTATAATCCCAGCTACTTGAGAGGTTGAGGCAGGAGAATCACTTGAACCCAGGAGGCAGAGGTCGTGGTAAGCCAAGATCATGCCATTGCTCCAGCCTGGGTGACAAGAGCAAGATTCCATCTCCAAAAAAATAAAAAATAAATTAGCCGGTGGTGGCACGCGCCTGTAGTCCCAGCTACTTGGGAGGCTGAGGCAGAAAAATTGTTTGAACCCAGGAGGCAGAGGTTGTGCGACTGCAAAATTGTGCCACTGCACTTCAGCCTGGGTGACAGAGCAAGACTCTGTCTCAAAAAGAAAAAAAGAAAGTTGTGAGGGTTAAACATGACACCATGTGTGCCGTGCTTGGCATACTGTGGACTGTCAATAGCATCTCCTTCATAATAACAATTTAAAAATAGTGTCCTTATGTACCAGGCACTGCTAGTTGCCTCTCCAGCATCCAGGCCCCCATCTCCTCTTTCCAACAGCTTGTTTCCATTTGAGGATCTATGCAGTTCCAAGGAAGCTTGGCACCAGGGCACGTGGTCTAAGCGAAGTTAGTCAGTGCACTCACTATAACCCCGCCACGGTTATTGGTTGGATATGGACATTTGCGTAAGCTGATCTAATACAGAGTGGATCTCAGAATTTTAGAAAATCTGGAACAAAGTCACTACCCCCCCTCCAACTGCCGACCCCAGTCCATCTGGGTGTGAACACAGAAGTATGTAGCCTTACAAACAGAAACAGCAGGTAGCCAACCTGCAATGACAGCTTGCCTTAAGATAAAGCCAACACCATGGAAACAAAAACAGGAAAAAGGGGCCGAGTGCAGTGGCTCATGCTTATAATCCTAGCACTTTGGGAGGCCGAGGCGGGTGGACTGCCTGAGCTCAGGAGTTCGAGAGACCAGCCTGGGGAACACAGTAAAACCCCGTCTCTCCTAAAAATACAAAAAATTAGCTAGGTATGGTGGCATGTGCCTATAATCTCAGCTACATGGGAGGCTGAGGCAGGAGAATCGCTTGAACTCAGGAGGCGGAGGTTGCAGTGAGCTGAGATTTCGCCACTGCACTCCAGCCTGGGCGACAGAGTGAGACACTGTCTCGGGAAAAAAAAAAAAAAAAAAAACAGGAAAGGGGGAAGAAAATTTTCTTGACGATATCAGTGAGCTGCTCTTCCTTGATGAGTATCAGTCACATCTTACTGTTTTTCAGTTACTTACTATCTCGTCCTTGACAAGATCAGTCAAGTCTTACCTGTTTTTCAGTTATGTGAGCCAGTGAAATCCTTTACTGATTAGGCCATTTTGAGTTGTGACTAAAACCATCGAATTCGACAAAGAAATTTATTTTTTATTTTTATTTATTTTTTAAGACAGGGTCTCGCTCTATCACCCAGGCCGGAGTGCAGTGACACGATCATGGCTCACTGCAGCCTAGACTTCCCAGGCCCCAGTGATCCTCCCATCTAAGCCTCCCAAGTAGCAGGGACTACAGGCACGTGCTACCACACCCAGCTAATTTTTTTCATTTTTTTGCTGAGACGGAGTTTTGCCAGGTTGCCCAGGCTAGTCTCAAACCCCTGGGATCAAGCAATTGACCCACCTCAGCCTCCCAAAGCGCCAAGATTACAGGCATGAGCCAAGGTGCCCAGCCCCTAACATAAGGCTTTAAATGTGCATTATCTAATTTAATCCTCCCAAGAACTCTGTGAAAGAAATACTATATGTGTCCCTGCATACAGGAAAAAAATAGAGGCTCATAGAAATTAACTTTCTATCTATAATAAGGGTAGAGCCAAGTTTCCATCTTAGGCATTCTCACTTTGGAGCTGCCAATCTTAAAGAAAACACCGTAATGAAAGGCTGAATACTCCCAGCCATTATTCAGGGGGCAGTATATTCTTAAATGATAGTTGCAGCTGCTTTCCTCAAAAACTTAAAAAAGCATTTTGTAACGATAACAAAAAACAGTGTTAGAATTATAAAAAGAAAATCATTTCACTGAAGGCCTGAGGAAGCAGCTATTTGAAATTTCTTTCCCTTTCTAAAGGAAAAACAATGCAACCTGCCATAAGAAATACTGACTGAAGCTGGGTGTGATGACTCACGCCTGTAATCCCAGCACATTAGGAGGTTGAGGAGGGCGGATCACAAGGTCAGGAGTTCAAGACCAGCCTG